GGCTTTGAATCACAAAAAATAATGAATAAAACTTGTTATTTATACAAGACATTAGGCCGATTTATACTTAAGTACACTGATTAATACACAGTTGGGCACCAAAATATTTTGTAGTATGAGACGGATCAGTGTCAGACTCAGACTTGCGACAACTGGAGCACAGAAATATTGACCTGGTTAATTGGTGCTGACGCATTGCAAGAAGTATGGGAGTGACACACTGGGTCCCAGGGAAACCATAACAGGAGCTCATGTATTACAGCAGTAGATAAGATGGCAGACTAAACATAAACACTCTGCAGGTATATACATTCATAGCTGAGGAATCTTTCCACTGCGGCAGCACGACAAAGTTGGTAACGGCTGATGTTCAGAGTGAAGCTATGGGCTTCGAAAGATTCAACACAGATGGTAAAACTACAAACACACTAATTTGCAGACTAACTGGCTAATACCGGTCTCACTGCTAACATTGACAGCATTGACAGACATTTCCATGTACTGTACACTGTATTACCCATGCATGCAACAGTAGCAGCAAAAACAAAGGCAGCATGAGAGATAATCAGTCTTAAGTCCTCATCTAAACTACACCCAGTCTGTCCAATGCCTGCTGGCCCTGGGGATTGTGCTGGAGTTTTTAATCCACTTAAAAGCAGAGGACCTCTGCTGCTGTTTCCAAGGGGCTTGACCCACGCTGCATGCGCACACACATGCACAAAAACAGTCACGTATGCAGCACTGCGCACAAATTCAGTCCCTTCTCATGAACATGTTTTGTTCTTAACACATGTGGTAATAAGGTAGATGCAGCAAAGGACGCATTCCGCACGTTTATCTATGCACATATCTAAAAGGCGGCTTAAGATGTATTGATCATGAAATTTATAATAACCAGGTTCAGTTGCCAAGTCCGGTCAGATCTTTGAATTTATCACCTTTATCACAGGGCCAGAATGAAAACTCTAATTTAAAGCTATATAGGAGGCTGATGGATTGCCGAGGCACAACCTAACGTTGACGGGATTTATTGAAGAGGGGTCAACTGTAATTCCACCATTGTTCAACTCCACTTCCTACTGTAGGTCTGCCACAGTATGTGTGAGTGTGTGTGTGTGTGTGTGTGTGTGTAAGGGAGATCTAACCTCTCAATCTTTAATGTCAGGAGAATTTTAAAAGGAATTTGCTCTACTCACACAATCACAACTGCAAACATATTAACAAAACACACAACATTGTTCATATTAATGTGTTGGAAATGAACTGTGGCAATTTAAGGTTTTTGTTTAGCAATAGAAAATATTTTTGGTCATGTTTAAATGCTTTATTTTGTGCCACGGACACAATGTCATACTTTTTTTCTCTTCTTGCACCATCGTTTGTCGTTATCTAATTTGAAATGTACTAATTCCTTATTCTTGCGGAGGGAGGGCGAACCACTGACTTGAACAGCTGCTTCATGACCCAAAAAACTGTCAGTCTTTCCCTGGAATAAATTGTGGAATATACCATCTTTAGGTACAGGGGGGAGCTGGAAACGTGCATTTCCGAGAAAGCGGGTGTCACTAGCAATTGCATACGTTTTGGCGGCATCATGAATTATATCCCAACATTTTAAAGTTAAATTCTTTAAACGTGGGTTACATTAAGTGTCGAAATATATACACATAAGGAATAATTGAAGCGCAGCATACCCGTGTTTTAGCGCCGTGTTTCCGGAGGACCCATAGTAGAATCAATTCAGCGAGAGGGGAGCTTGAAACCGTCCACTCATGCTTTCCTCCGAGTCCGAGAGAAACACAGTTGAAGAGAACACACAGACCAGTCGGCCGCACTACATGCTCACAACAGGCAGGCTCCGATCACTAACGAAAAACAACAGCAGCCTCTGCATATAATTATAATGATACTTTACGAAACACTGTGCAGTGATCTCAGGAAAACTATATGTGACTGCAGGAATGATGGAGGAACATCATAATGATACCAGATCATCATTAAAAGTATAAGGTCACTGTGAACTCACTTTAGAGTAGCCTACCACGGACGCATTGTACATGCCAATAAAACATTATAATAAAATCAGTTTATGCGTTTGTTTTGTCAAGAAATATCCCCTTCATATGACATTTTAAATGTTATACATAATATCATTTTATTTTGGTACCGTTATACCTCTTGCATGTTATAAATGCAGATGCTTTAACCTTTGTCAGGCAACAGCGACTAATAACATGATGATCAAGATCAGGGTAGTGAGCTTCAGCAGTTTATGCATTTGCCATAAAGGTGCCATATTCAAATGGAACTTTATATTTTTAATCTATCAAATAAACATATAGAACAAAACAGATGAAGGAATACATTAATCGGGATCAATAGTCTGAACTCAACCATTGTCACATAACTGTTCGTCCAACTGCTTCTGAAACTTATGCAACGGTACATTGGCTGAGTAGCCTACATGTTATGCTCTGCTTCCCACTCATTTTGCTCACAAACATTCACCCGTCTGTCTTCTGCTGCTGCTCGTCACTGATCAGCTCCAGTGCCTCAGCTGGACGTGCCTTGCTCAAGGGCATCTGTTGACAGAGAGGAAGGCCATGGATGGTCATGCGCGCACTATAAACTGAAACCGTCACACGCGTTAGCATCAATGGTAACAGTTAATCCAGGGCAGCAACAGCTCTGAGGGTGATAAAAAACACACAACAACTCTGGAGCAAGGCGTTGGCTATAACCCACACCGGCTTGTTGGTGAGCAGCATTTACTGTATGAGGAAAACTACTGCATGTGAATGAGGAAGTTAGGAACAACATTTCTTGGGGAAAATAAAGGCAGAAAATGGGTTTTGTGTGTTGGCCACAGAGCAGAAATCCGGCATTATTTTGGGTCAGATTAGAGAGAGCCGTCTGACCCTTTCACCCCCGTCACAATGCAACACCTGCTGCAGGCATCGGGGAGATTTTACATAAAGTTTTTCAGGTAGTTGCGGCGCTTCATCACGACGCTGCGTAGGAATCTTTGTGTCTATGTCAAATGACTAATATGGGTACAGTATTTGCATGCATGCACGGCACTCACATGCATCCTCATTTGAATGTGTTTGCGCGTGCCTCGTCGAGGGCTGGTGCTTCCACGCCACCAGCCCCGCTCACCAATGTCACCTTCATGGGTGGCTCCATCGTAGGAGCATCCTTCAGAATGTAACAGATTAGCTTTGCAGGCAGGGATGTTGATGAGGTCATCACTTGCCAAGGTCACACCTACACAAGCCCAGCTATAGGCCCACTGGCGTTAAAGCCCCCCCCCACCTCTTCAGATCCTATAGAGGCTCAACTCTACCTCCTGCCTGCATGCAGATCTGAATAAGGCAGAATAAGCCACATCCAACAGGATAAGCCTTATTGTAATATTCAGGCTGCTTCAGCCTCTTCAGGATTTCTTCCCCCCTGCGGAGACTTGAGAAAGGCCGGACAGCTCCATGTTACAACACAATGTATGCGTCACTTATAGTATTTCTAAGCTCCTATAGACTTTTTAATCCCTACTGGCACATTTCAGCATGCTGCGAAGCTGCAAGCTCTGTTGCGCAACGATTGATTATCAGATCAGCTCTTTTAGATTCTATCACTTCCGATGTTCATATATTTCAATATGACATCCGAGTAATTAAGTATTCAAGAAGAGCACTTGCTGAGGTGCTATAGCACTTACAGGTCTCTGGCCCAAAGTTAGTTTCTGCCTGTCTGCCGGTGTCAATGTAAAACACTACGCACCAGGGTTGCAGTCAAGACCAGCTAAACCGAGACCAAGTCATGACCAAGAGACAAGATCAAGACTTTGTGGGGTTGAGTCCAAGTCAAGACCAAGACCAGTGCGGGACCCCACACTGCGTGAGACACATCCGATAAAAAGTGGAACAGGCAATCCATAGGCAGTCCTCTTTACTCACCGCTTTTCTTTCCATATATATGAGTGTATGTAGAAGTGTACTATGAGATAACATATTCAAAAGGTATTGCAGAGGTGAATGGTATGTGTGGGAATGCCCCTTTGTTTTCTATGAGCAATCACAGTGATGATGTTAACAATGAAATCAGACAATTCCCAGGCAATCAGAGGGTTCCCCGCAATTGTGGTCTTGAAATAAAATTCGGAGGCCTCTTTGTCCGAGGCCAAGACACGAGTAAAAAGCCAGTCGATTCAGAGTCCTTCAAAGAGTGGTCTGGAGACCGGTCTCGAGACCAAGACCAATCTCGAGCACTACAACACTGCTATGCACCAAAGTAATGACTTAGTTATTACAGTTGTTATAGATGGCATCTCTGCTGCTCTATCAGAGGAAGAGTCCCTCCACCAACAGTTTCTCTTGAGGGTTGTGCAACTGTTCTGCATTAGTGCGGCGAGCGTGCAAACGACAGACTTGTACAACAGCTACATCTGTATGTGTACTAATTTTCCTCCGCTGATTCTCTACGGAAGGCAAACCTCCCTGCTGCACAGTGCCTCATCTCTTTCTGTATTCCTCTCCCCTCATGAGACAATGAAAGCATTGAGGCAAATCTGTTTCCACAGCCTGTGAATAAGAGACAGCCAGCTTTGTTTTGCACACACACACACACACACATATATGCGTGTGTGACAGATAAAGAACGAAATGTGTTTGTCTATGGGACATATTTGTGTTTGCATGTGCGTGAGATGCCTACGTCACGGGTTCGCCATGTGAGTCATTTGCTCTCGTGTCGGGCTTTAAGTAGGGAGTAAGAGCCCTCTACCCTATCGTCTGTCTCCGCTCTCCCTCTACGGGGCCTGAACACACAACCACAGCTCTGCCGCTTCCTCCTTTGCCACCACTTCAACGCTGCTCGTCGTCCAACAGGTTGCTCTGTCAATAATGAACGCTCACGACGCACTGCACGTCCGAGAGAGTTTTTGAAATCTGAGATGGATTCAAACATGTGACCATCACCTATTCCAGGAAAGCAACAAAACATACATGAGCATTTTCTTTATTTCTTTTTTTTTATGCTTCTCCTTCATTCTTCTCTGTCACAAATCTCAACATGTATTTGAATAATTGCTCTGTCCAGAACTGTCTTCTTTGCTGGCCCTGCTGTGATAATTGCAGGTGACCCATGGAGGAGCCAGAGAGCAGCAGTGCAGAGAGAGATAAGTAAACACACAAGAGAAGTCTGCGGTTGATGACAACAGTCTTGTGTAGCACCTTCTGTCTTTCTTCTGGACTGCTGGAGTAATGGCTGAAGGCTCGGCTGGCTAGCTCTAATTATTCTCTCTTAGCAAGAAAACATGGACAAATATTCTTCATCCAAACTGGACATCAATGCACATAGTGTGTGAATTCCATACGTACTGTATATCAGTTAATATGGTAATGCATCATTGTTTAGAACCCTTATTCTGTTGCTGTTCTTTTTAAGCTGGAAGTTCCTTTAGGGCACTTTTACATGGCAAAGCCATAAACAGAAACATTTTACGTTGCAGCTGTTTTTGGACTAATTCCACCATCTAGTGGTAGTGCACATGCTGTTACATATTGGGGCCTACACACTTGAGATCACAAGAAGTCAATAAAAAAAAACATTTTTCTTTACTGACGTCAGTACATTGGAGAAAATGTGAATTAAAAATGATGATTATGTAGTGCAGAAATACACATTAACTTTATTGTCACAAAATAAAATATGTTGAATGCACACAAAATGGCAGTTTGGGGTGAAACTATATTGGCACAAAATAAAGAAAAACACATAAGAAAAGTGCTCATTTAGACAGAGACAGAGGTAGAGTTTCAACACAGAGGAAATCAGGATACTGAAGGTTATTCATTTTGTAAAGTTACAAATAAATGTAACACTAAAGAGATTAAAAACAGCTGAGGAATAACAATACTTAATCTAATGGTACCATTATTTGATTTGATAGCTATTTGAGAACATCTGTAGCACCTTGTTCATTGCGAGGTCACTGTTATGCTACCAGTTTTTCCCAAATCATCTGTCGCCCTAGAAGATGTAGAAATATTCTTCCTCTTCCATTCAGAACACGTGTCCAGTACTCCACAGGGCGATACAAATGAGATCCATGAGAGCGGGGAGGTACGAGGAGTTTTCATATTGGAATGTTTTTCACTTAACCCTCTCTTGAAAAGCAGCACCACTTAAAAATGTACACTTGAAACTTCAACCGATTTCGTCCTCATCGTCATGTGGCTCCATCCTCATCCTCCTCTTGTTGTTCCGGCAGGCTGCCGGGACAGGGCTCCATGGTAACAGCGACGCCCATGCCGCTGCACCCGACGGGCATGTCGGTGACCCACGTCCATTCATTTCTGTCTGGACAGTAACACTCAACGCTGGTCAGGAAGCCGTGCTGGTTAAAGCCTCCTGGATAAACCACAAACAAAACATGTTCAATAGAGCTGTGGATAAACCGATTAGAGGAATGATCAATTGTTCTGCCTTTAAGCAATCGATTTTTTGATTTTAATTGATTTTAATTTACTAACGAGGTTTGTTATTTCTTTCTGATCTGAGATTTAATTTCCCTCCTGCTCATCCGTTTACTCTTAACATTTGATCCACGCTTTACTCTATTTAATTAAACAACACTTAGCCATTGAGCCACATTGAGCCTACTGACCCAACTGTCTACTAATTAATCAGAATTATCTAATTACTTTACGAGTCTTATTGCGTCTACGTGCATGAACTTCTTCTTGGGCTCACCAGCATCAGACGCGTGAAATATACCAGAGACTTCTTTTAACTCATACGAATAAAACTTAAGTTAAGTGCACACACATAACTGTTCATGTACTTAAGTAGTAATTGCACACAAAAACGGGCAATCAATATTAATCAATCCGAGCTTAATCAAAAATAAAATGTATACTAAAATACCCAGGAGCAACACACACAAAATAAATAATTCTAAAAAAGTTAAATAGTTATAGAAAAATTATAAATTATTACAATAAAATAAAGAAATGAAATACAAAATCAGAAAAAGAAATCTATAATACTTAAAAAATTATGAACTCTGCATGAGCCTAACGAAGTGAAACAGGTCGACTTTATTCGTGTAAATATAAGATCATTCGTCATATATTTTTTTTGTGAGTATGCTATCACTTCACAAAACACTTTCTTATAATCTGATTAATGACGTGACTGACCGAGGACAAATATGCTCCCATGGTGGACTGCGACTCCGTGTGCACTGCGGCAGTACTGCATGGAGGCCCTGGGCTCCCATTGGTTCCTGGTTATATTGTAACGCTCCACAGAACACAGCTGGCTCCGCCCATCATACCCTCCTATTGCGTACAGGTGAGAGTTCACACACACCAAACCTATAAAGACAGACAGAGAGGGAACTTACAGGAAAAGATTGACATTTTGGCAAAATGGTTTATTCCCTGTTGTTGCTGAGAGTTAGATGAGAAGATCAATACCACACTGTTGCAGCTGGAACCAGCGGTTAGCTTAGCATAAAAACTGTAAAACTACAAATGAGCTTAATCATGTTATTGCTGACAGTAAGATTAGAGGATTGACACCACGCGTATGTCTGTCTGTTAAATATGAAGCTTAGCTTAGCATAAAGACTGGAGCTAGGGGTAAATAGCTAGCCTTCCTCATTCTGAAGGTAACATAACCTGCTTACCAGCACATCTAAAGCTCACTAATCACTACATAATATCTCATTTGTTTAATCAGACTGGCTCTCGTAAAGACAGGAGTACACAAACACACACACATACATACACAAACACACACACACACACTCACCCAGTCCACTGCGTATGGTGCTCATGGGTGCCAGCTGCTGCCAGGTGTTAGTGTCAGGCTGGTATTTCTCAGCAGTGTTCCAGCGGTTCTGCCCGTCGTATCCCCCCACCACATACAGAACCCCCCCGCACGCCGTCACTCCAGCACCCAGACGAGCCACCGACATCGGACAAACAAAGGACCAGCGATTAGACTCTGGATCCCACCTGCAAACCAAACAGCAGTTGAGCAGTGCATGCAGCCAATGTGATAATCTGTTGACAGTTCCTAATGTTGTTACATATTAATCAATTACGATATTCAAACAAGTGTATCAGAGCAGCAGAACGTGATGGCAGTGGCTGTGTGAAGCAACCTTCTCAATCTACACCAGCCAGTCAATTTTAAGTGGATTAGGTTAAGCTGGCAACCATGTTTGGCAACTATTGTTAAGCTTTATTTGAAGCCAAAGAGGTTGCAACACCACTGAGAGCAGATAGAGACAAGAAAGGTTTAAAAGGTCAAATTAAGCTCATCTTATACTGTAAACTACGTGTTTTATTTAACACATTTTTAAAAGGAATAGCTTGAAGAAGATTAATTGTACACGTAGGTGCTAGGCTATCAGAGAAGCATCATAAAGAGAAAGGTAACGCCTGTACACTACTCCATGCCACAATTTTATTAACTACGTTTCAATCCTACTTTGTCAATAAAATGTGCAGGAGGTATTTTTTATCTTTTTAAACCGATAGCTTGATTTTTTTTCCCCAAATAGGCTTGTTCACTTTCTCAATGACGGTTAGAGGAGAGAATACCACACTCATATCGGTTAGCTTAGCTTAGCATAAAGACTGGATGGAGGGGGAAACAGCTAGCTCGGATTTGTCCAAAAGGGGGGGGGGGGGGGTCAGCCTAACCCCACCTCTATGCTTTTTGAACAGATTAAATAATGAATATAAGATGTTGGTAGGTGCATTCTTCTTTTACCTTTGCACAGCCAGGCCAGCTGTTTTGGCTTCGGTCTTTATGCTAAGCTTAACTAACCACCCCCGAGCTGCATAGCTTTATATTGAACCAACATATATGATAGGGGTATTAATCCTCTTATTTAACTCACAGCAAGAAAGAAATTAACATAACCCCCAAAATGTTGGACTATTCATTTAATACTGGAAAAAGCATAATATGAGTTATAACACCAAGAAAGGGCTGAGTCGTGATGTGAGAGGTTGGACTGCATGTTAATGATTAAATTACTTCTCGGTACTGGGTGTATTCCAGCTGTAAACTGCTGATAAGAGGGTGGCTGATATTACATCACCTGCCCTAAAACATTGGCAAAGTGCCCTTGAGAAAACCACTAAATGCAAGTCACTTCTCGAGTCAATGTGCTGACCCTGTGCTCTGAACCCTGAAATTACTACATGCAGCGAGGCAAATTTCAATGATAAATGACAATACATAATCTCAATATAGCGCACTAGAACAAGGAGGTATAGCTCCCTGTTGAATCTCTTACATGTTGCCTGGATTCATTTGGGAGGCATCCTCAAGAGCGGAGTCCTTTCCTGCCAAACGTTGTTCCTATAAATGCTCTAATCTCCTTTGATGCGTTTCACATCGGATTTTCATTTCAAATTGTTTTATCAGCTTTCATTATATTTAGCAGCCTCTTGTGAAAAGACTTCCAAGTGGCGTCTGATGAGTTCTAATAATTCTCTTGTGACCAGCATCTTTTAGAAATATACACCCATTATTACAAAAGGGGATTGAGGTTACGTATCAAAAATAATCATCGTAATTTGGCTTGACGTGACTTTTTTGTTATTAATTGATTGAAACCGATTTATCACAGCATTAAAACTCCTCCCTGCTCGGCGGTGGCAGCAAAAAAAGATGTAAAGCTTCCCGAACCAGATCGACATTCCTGCATTGTGTGTCTCGACATGTTTTGAAAGAGCCCGTTTTGTAATTAGGTCAAGAGGAAAACCTGCGAACATCATGACTGCTCTTTAGGTTGAATGGCAGCTATTCATTTCATTTTATCGCGTCATTATCTGTACTGGCACTGAGGTAAATGCACTTAATCTGAAAATGTGTGCATAGGGGGAGGACATCTGGGCTCATCACATTCATCCTAGTAAATAAGATGTCATTAAAATTAAATTACTTCTCGTAAGTGCCTAGTTAAATAAACAAATCCTCACACACGTCTCACCTCTCTACCGTGTTGTGATGTGTGGAGCCCTGCGAGCCTCCGACAGCGTAGATGCAGCCATCCACCACGCCCACCCCGACCCTGTTCCTTGGGATGCTGAGGGAGGCTTGCTGGCTCCACTGGTTGGTCATCGGGTTGTAGCAGCACAGGGCGCTGGACTCTGTGATGTTTTGAAGAGACATGTTCCGGCCTCCAACCTGAACAGATTAATGTTGGAACATGTCAAAACAAAACATTGGTCCATTACAGTATTGAATGTCTAATGTACACAGAAATGTGCCAGTACAGTGGCACAAAACTAAACCAGTGTTTGAATTTAGTTTCCCAGTTTTGTATTTCTCATATCATATTATACAACAACATATAATCGTGTCTTCGAATGTCACACAGAAACTAAAACTCTGCGATGTTTTTACAATGACATTTCATTGGTGGTATGACACAAGGGGTGCAACTTACAGTGTAAAGGAGTCCAAACAGCGCGCAGGCCCCCAGACCACTGCATGCAGACCCCATGTCAGCCAGTTTTAGCCACACATTCCTCCTGGGATCAAAAGCCTCCATGGAGTCCAGTGAACGCTGCTTGTATCTGAACAGAGACAATTGTATGTTCACTCTAAATGCGCTCTTGATTTGATATGCATTCATTAAAAGAATGTGTACTAAAATAAGTACACAGCAGAAAAGACCAATGACTTAATATGCTGACATACAGTATGTATGTATGTATGTATGTATGAATGGTGAGGTTTGAAATTTAGTGGTGCAATTTGGTTCGAGTGAAAACAAAAACTACTCTTTCCCACGTCAGTCAAAAACACATTGCAAACCCCGTTTGTACTTGTGCTTTTATACCAGCCGTACACCAAATTTACTTAAATTAATGATGCTATTTTTTTAAAAAGGTCCAAAAAAACCAAACCTGAATAAGACCATCAAAAAACTCAAAACACCTGAAGCAGCACAATCCAAATGCTCTGTAGTCAAAGTACTGCACTCGAAGAAGTGTATAGATACAATAAATGAACATTCTAATGGTAGTTCTATGCTTACCACTTTGGTTAAAAACCCACCTGTGGTTTATGGCAGTGGAAAATAGGTCAACATGCAGTTTGCCATTACAGTTAGGGCTGGGTAATAATTCAGTATGATAATTTATCGTCTTTCAATGGAATCATATCATGATTAGATCAGTTTTTGAGATATCATGATACACAATTACGTTGTCTTAATTGATAATAACAAGCAAATATTACCTCAAATTTATGAGATTATTTAATTTCCACAAGACTATAAAAAAACCATGGTGTTTCTGGTAGTTTATAAAATTAGCAGAAATCCTATATAGTGATACATATCGTTGTCAAGAAATTAAATTGCCTTTATTGTGATAGAGGATTTTGGCCATATGGCCTAGCCCAAACTACAGTATATATGAAGGGCTTACAAAAATAAGAGGGTGCTTACATAACCTCCTAACAGCCACTGGGGGGCAGACTGAGACACTTTCTGGAGCCATGTTTTGCATCCAACATGATAAGAAACAACAACACAGCTGCTGCCAAAAGCTTGTTGTGAGCCAACATGGTCTATGGTTCTGAGGAAAGCCTACTCATTAACATGCACGTCATCAAACTGTTGTCTCATAATCAGTTTATTTTTGTATGATCGATATCAGGAAAAATAGGTCAAAATGGCCTACAGAGTGTCTTACAGTAAGTGTGCGACCAAAAAATGCTGTTGATAAAAACTATTTGAGATAAGTACCCGCCGGCTACATAGATCAGCTGCGTTCCACGGTTAGGTGCAGGAGGCAGCTTCCTCAAAGTCATATCTTGGAAGATTTTAGACAGGAAGTCCTTACAGGAATTGGCCTGGAGATAAAATAAGGAGTTGTAAGGAGCATTGAAAATAACGTCATGTCTTTCTCAAATAGAAAACAAAAACATAAAGCAAGACTGTGGTTTACCTTGCTGAGGATGGGGCAGGACAGCAGCTGGTTCTTTAGGAACTTAGGAGGCAGGGCGTAGATATGAACCGCATTCAGGAGGGCATGCAGGTACTGGGCTCTGCCCTCCATATCCCAGCGGACCCAGTCTGTACAGGCCTTATACACCTGATAGGAATGTATTTAGTCATATCAATACGCGTTTGTTGTGTACCTATGTACCTACATTCACTCTTGTCAGAACTTGGACTAATAGCATTTGTGCTATGTTTGACCTTTTTTAGCATGAGATGACTGTTGTGTGACACACGAGATAAAAATCATTCTCTGACTTCACAAACTAAATTTACATTTTCAAGTTTGAATTAGTTCTTTTAATGCCACTCACCTCAGACTCACAGAGCACCTTGAGACTGTCCTGACTGATGAGCTCCAGCAGCTGGCAGTGGGAGAGTCTGAAGAACTCATCTTCTTTAATCACCTTACACAAGAGCATAGTCAGATAAAGGCATCCGATTACTGAATATGCACTTTTCAGTCCGTTTTCAGATTGTATTTTCTTATGCGGTACAGTATTATTCAGTGAATAATGTGAGTTGGTAGGCAGGCATTAGAGATAAGACACAGAGCATTCACACACTTACAAAGGTTGCTGCCATTTAAACTAGCATTACCGCCTCGTGGTTGTATGCCTCTGCCAACCAGCCATGTTGCAGGTTACATCCATATCTGTCCAAAGTGTCATCACTATATCCTATTAGATATTTGTGTTAATGTGTCTTAATTAGCATATAACTTCTTGAGTTATAGCCAAAAATGTTTTGTGAGGTCACAGTGACCTTTGACCAGCAAATTCTAAATCAGTTGAGCCTCGTGTGGAAATAGATGTTTGTGCCAAATTTGAAGACATTCCCACCAGGCGTCCCTGAGATATTCATGCGAATGGACCGGACGGACGGACGGACTGACAACCCGAAAATATTATGCCTCTGGCCACAAAATAACAGCGTCAGGAAAAGAGAGAACATGTGTGAAATGTTCTGGCAAAAACGTACTGGTGCTGCAACCAGAGCGCCAAATTACCTGAACTTGGTTCTGACTAATGTTTGTTAAATAATGCATATAAACTGTAATGTTCTGGAGCTTCTTTGGTGATTTATGGCCTGCTATGCGCAGTCTGTTTAAGCTCAATCAACATCTATAAGATCCAAAGACAGAATTTAAAGTGCTACAGCTTTGCTGCTGACCTGATGCCTGCCAGGGGCTTTGGTTTCAGCGCTGAGCTGGGAGCACCGAGAGTCACAGTGAACAAGCTGAGGTTGATGGAGAACAGACTGGCAGCAAGCGAAAGCTAAGTGAAAGCTCAGGAGAACTCAGCTGAGGATCTAAGAGCAGAGCTGAATGTGACCAAGACAGAGTTACTTCACTGGTAAGAGCAGGCAGAGGAGATGGAGAAAAAAAAAAAAAAAAAAAGATGGCAGGTATAACAATAGGAAATAATATGAAATCAGACGACAACAGAAATGACCACTGATCTCATGGAGGAAACACGTAATACTTCTCCTGACCAAAGGATTGGCTAAAAATCACTCCAACATCTTTGGTTGTTTCCTTCTTTTTTCCCCCCATGTGAGAACAACATGGCAGGAGAGTATATTTCTCACTGAAAAACACCTGCACTTTGCACAATAAATACACTGCGTTCACATGTTTGCTTCACATAAAGTACAAGCGATAATAAAATGAGCTTTTATAAAAACTTGACTTGATTACATTTGAAAGGATAACTTGTGTGTTTGAGCTTCCTGTATGTTCACCTCACCTCATTGAAGTGTGTGTTGATATACTCTCGACTCCGCTGGTGCAGCTCCTTGCAGTAGATCTCCTCAGCAAAGCGGGCGATGCCGATGACATTGGCCGGCTCCAGGTGCTTGGTGAGGAAATCGCAGCACGCCTTGGCCACGTCCTCCATCTGATACCTTATAGAGAAGAAAGTAAATGGAGGTGAAATTCACTACTGTCCTGTATATTCTCTAACCGGTAAATATTGAAAGATGAAAAGAGTGACAGATTTAAGAAATCAAGCACGTGTACTTGCTGTTTAAAGACTGTATGTTTACCTCATAGCAGCCAACAGAACATGCAACACACTGTTTTCTCCCACTGTGATGTGGGAGGTGTAGGCAAAGTCTATAAGTCTTCCCACCACCTGAGGGCAGACATCACGCAGGGTGACCTCCGAGGCGTGACACTCTTTGAAGCTGCTGGTGAACATGGCTCTGAAGTAGGGGCTACAGGACGCCAGCACCACCCTGTGCACCTGAAAACAACCAACATTTATTGGATCATACAGAAACACTTAATCCCACGAGTCTGGAGAAGTACCTGAAGTAAACAAGTCGCCATTACTGTGACGGCATCTCCTTTCAATACGTGCACGTTTGAATGCATTTTATGCAAAGGTTCGTGAATTAGCTGCTGCTGTCACTGTCAGCATGTAGCAGCAGATGCTGAGTCACTATGACTTGCCACGGCATCTATAGAGTTACCACAACACAATTTATTGTATTTTTTGACTTTTACTGCATTTAGTCAGGGTCAGGGCTTCATTATAATACTTGCGTGCGTTTATAAATTTGGCATTTTGACAAACTGTGAAGAAAAGGGTACAAACTGCATTGAATTTAGAAGGTGCCTCACCTTGTAGTCCACTGTCCTTTCCTTGTATGTGACATGTAGCACGAGGTCACACAACATCTCATGCCGTCTGAATTCCTCCATGACCTCGAGGGCTTTGGGAGCGTGGGTCTCGACTGTGTAGTCAAGATACCCGGACCCATGCATCGAGGGAACCGCGATAGCTGAGAAGTCAGAGTTGCGGGCCAGGCGTTTCGTCCTCGGGCAATGCATTCTGGGAGAGAAGTACTCTGCTTTGTTTGTTTGTTTGAGTAATTACTTGTTTTGTATTAGAGTCTTGTACTTTACAGAGTTTTCAGTTCTTATCCCGTTGGGCTCAGACTTTCAGCGGATAAAATTCCTTTGTCTTTGTAAAGGCTCCGGTGAGAAGATGTCCTTAGTTCCTTCATCTTGCCTTAAATTTAACACAAAAAAAAGTCTATTCAACAAGGAGACCAAGAAATTAGGGATGTGAAGAGCATAATGGTACTATCCATGACTGGTGATCCTGGTTACAGTCGGCAGGCCCAGCAAGTAGTCCACAGGAAAAGCCAGTTGCCACATGAAATATGTTCAGCTCATACGCTTCTCCGCACAAATCCGGCTGGTAAAAAAACAGGCAGAGTGATGGTGAACCACATAATACTCCCTCATCCACAGATCCAGGCTCCAACATGACTGGCAGCTTTTGAATCCGGATCAGACAGTTCCCAAAGCACAAGTCAGACCATGATCATTGAATCGCTGTTGGTCCAGATTATACAGGTTTCAGGGCTTTGAAAGTGATCCATTTTGACATTTCAGAGAGTCCTCTGCAATTTTTTTTGTCCAATGGGGGAAAAAAAGAGGAAGTGGTTGGCAAATATGTGTAACTGCACAATCGGATGTATTTTGGCAGGGATTTCTTCAACCCCCGTCTGTTGTGATGCTTATCCTGCAAAAAAAAGAACAAAAACAGATTCAGTGAAGAGAGGTAAGAGACTTTTAGTGGTTCTAGAAACAGCTAATGGAACCAAAATCTCATGCGAATATGATGTTTTTCCCTCGTGAATGAATGTTTGGGTGTGTGACCGTCTCACACACTCAAGGTTTCACTTCCTTGCAACTGAAACAGAAAAGCTGATTCTGTTGAACTGCTTTAAGCCTAAACTTTTTGCCCAAGGAAATGGTTGCTGTGTTTTTAGTTTGCTTTATTCAGGAAAATACTTTTTTCAACAACTTTACAAATATTCTCATTTACAATGATCGACCAGAAACCTTTTATCAATAGAAGATCACAGTAGAGCTGCGACAATTAGTCATTTGATTGAAAGCAAATATGCAACTATTATATTAATCGAACAACCAATTGACTTATAAGATGACTTATGACATTTGATGGTACCAAGCTCTCAAATGTGAGAATTTCCTGCTGGTCTTAAGTTATTGTAAGTTGAATAATTTGTCGATTTTGGATTATTAGTCAGTCAAAACCAGACATTTGATGACGTCACCTTTTGCTCTAGGACAATGTAATGGCCAATTTTTATCACCTTGGAGACCAAACGAGACACCAGTTTCATCGATATTGAAAGTAATGGCCACTCCCCCAAAATTATTACTATGAATGTAAATATATCATAATGAAAAATAACGAGTATGGCTATTGTTAGCACTCACAGCTGTCACGCTAGCAATGAGTGCACGGGCAGAGTACGCACAGGCAGGTGAAGCCTTATCCGGGCCGAATAAAACGACAGGCCTATTAAAAGGCCTGCGACAGCCACAGATACAGTGTTTTCATTCATGTTTGTCAGAGCCTTTGACTTATTGATTGTTGTTGGGATGTAAAGATAATTTCAACAAATAGTACAAAAATCTCCTGAAATAAATTACCCATCCTAGCTTAAAAAAATTGAAAATAGAGCACTGTAATGTAGTCAGTTAAAACCCTCTTTTCCAGTGTCGCTTCTCCAAAGAGCTCAGCCAAGCAGAAGTCACAGTCATGGTGTGTGAGTCACAGAGAGGAGTGAGTAAGACTCTGCAGACTGTAGCCGGCTGACAACCATATCCAGAACATAAATTCACGCTATTTAAAACAACACAAGGTATGAATGAATTCCTACCAGACACCAGAAGCTGTTGCTGACTCCACTGTTTCCCTGAACCACATTCACTTCTATGTTCCTACTTAACTTCTCAAGAAACGAAGTAAGGAGATATAACCACTCCCCTGTGTCGGAGCAGGCTGGTGTCATCTGACTGGAACCTGTTTGACTGTCTGTCTTAACTTAGTTAGTGTCAAGAAATGAACACACTAATAACAATTAGCTGATGCAACAGGAGAGCACACAAACACTCAAACACCTCTTATCTTAGCAACTCTGATTAAATCTCAGTTAAAGCCCATTTGCAACACAAGACAAAAAAAAAAAAAGCAGTAGTGCTCTCCTGAATTTATTTTGTAAATTTAATTCAGGAGAAATGCAAACAGCAGCATCAAAAACAATTCTCTGGGCAGATGACATGGCCGGCATCTTAACATTAAACAATCGGCTTCAGGGAAACATTGTCCGTCAACTCTGACTGTGTTTTGAGCACCAAGCGTCACCGACGTACACACACAGTGAGCCTCCTCTCGTCCCAACGTAGTCCTGTGCTCCGTCCTCACCTTTAAAACTGTGGAATAGTCTTGTGTACCACAACTCTACGGAAATCCCGAGGGCTTGTTTAAGCATTACTCAAGTATATAATTTCTACTCTTATTATAAAGTGTTACAGATTTTAATATAGATTCTTGAGTAATTTTACATTTTGGGAAACATGCTTAATAATTTATTGTCGATGTGAAATTGATGCCACTCATGTCTGTCCATTAAAGTCACAGTCAGGAATGGTTAGCTTAGCTTAGCACAAAGACTAGCAGCAGGGGACAACAGCTACCCTGATCCAACCAGTGTCAAAACTACTCTCGACCCTCCGAGATCCACAGCAATACTCACAGTCAGCAACTGACAGCTATTTCTCTGCACCACCAGCATTTATCACATGCTTGTGTTTTACTGAGCCAAGCGCAAGGAGGTTAGTGCACGATCAAAATCTGCTCCCTCACCTCTCACCCCTACAGTCAGTCGGCCTGTTTGCTGGTCACATGACCAAAAGCTTGAGATGGAAAGGGAAGGAGAGTGAAGCAGAGGCAGAGAGATTTTCGGGGCAACATACAGTGAGCAAGGGAGAGAAAAAAGGCAAAGTGGGAGAGAGGCGAGAGATGCCAGGAGTGAGTTGACTTACAGTGCAGCTCAGTTTTCCATAAAGGGCCATTGTGCTTAGAAATATTAGCCTGTCCTACTTTCCTGATCAGGCTTTAAGGGGGTTAACAGTGCATTACTGTGTAAACACTGTGTGCAGAGCTTGGCTACTATATAAAGCATTGCTCAAGCCTGCAGGTACACAAGTTCTGACCAGTTTATTGATCTCAACTATCAACGTTTGTTTGAAATATATCTCGACTGTTGGCACTGCAGGAGGTGCTACTGTTTGGCTTTTGTCAAATGTATTTCTTAGGATACTTCAGCTTCATTGATGAAATTGGGTTTGATTTCAGGAAGGAGAGCTGTGGCATTCACCAGATGAAATTTCTACTTTTGAGACACTAAAAATGACAGAGAATAACAGAAGAACGGAGGAACGAAACCACTCAAACGCGTCAATTTTGGCACCAAGAGTGTGTGTTTATTATAGATCACAAGCCTGGCTTAGTGCAGAAGTTATAAGAAGAAGCAAGAGAAGCAGAGAGACGCAGAGTTAACTATTTACAGACTATTTCTGTTGGCAGATGGTAGACAGCACTCCGGGAACATGTCAGACTGCAATCAGCTTTGACCTGGACGTGCAACACACAGGGCTTTGTGAAGGAGTGAAGACTCTGCTGAGGTGTCATGACTTGTTGCAGTGTTTCGTAACAGCAGTGACACGAGCTCTTCTGCCTTGTCATCTTCCAGCATGCCCTGATGGCAGGGGTCAAAGGTTTCTGATGACTGAAGACATTCGATGGTCAGAAACTTCATCCAAGCGCTGCACACTAAACATTGTGACCTAAAATAACACTTGAGAACGAAGAATAAAAAGTGGCCAAATGCTGCGTCCTGACCGCAAACTCACCATATCAGAAGCACGAAATATACAGTCCCTAAACAAAGAAAAGTCCTTCCTTATCCTCGGTAAAAACGTGTGTGCACGGAAACATTTGGGAACAGGCTGAACAGATATGGTATGTAAATATAAAGTGCTAATATTCTTGTTGCATTCTATGGTGCCACAAATTATTATTTTCATTGATTAATCAATGAATTGTTCGGTCTATACAATGTTCTTAAAAAAATCCTGTAACCCAAGTTGACATATTTACATTACCTGTTTGATCAGAGCAACAATCTAAAACTCAAAGATATTACGTTTACTATCATAAAAGAAGCAAAAGAAAACGTATTTGAGCAACTGCTCAATTAGCAAAACTGTTAATCAACTGTTCAATTGATTAATAAACTAATTGTTTCAGCTTCAGTTGATTTGTAAGGTATTTGATCCTCTCCATTGATGATGAATGATGTTATATCTTACAGCAGGGAGTATCTGTATTGTATCAATAGTTGATTGATGAACTGCTTTTCATTGTTTTAATAGTAGATCTCTTTGGGATTGTTGGTTAATTGTTTAGTCTTTAAACATAAAACAATCAACTCATCAAAGAAATGATCGGAAGAGGACCCAATATTGAAAATAATAGTTAGTTTCATCCGTAATTGCATCCAGGGCTACAATTGTTATTTTTTGCTTTATTATAGATGAACTTGTGATTATTTTTCTCAATAAGTTGACAAAGTTAAAATGGCAGAAACTGGTGAAAACAGTTTTCCCCAAAGCGATCTTCAAGTTGCTCGTTTTATTTTTAAAGCTAAAAAAAAAAAAACATCCCAAAATTGAACTGACAATGATATGAAGAATGAAACAAATAACTGCAAGCTGGAACCAGAGAATGGATTTAATATACAATGTATGCAGATTTCTGTGATTGATTAACCGACAACACGCTGGATGAATCAGCTCTCTAAAGCCATGTTTATTTTCACGAGGATGTTGGGGAACATTTGACTCTCGTTAAATGAATGACAGACCTTGAAAAAAAACACAATAATGAGCAAGTTTCAATTCCGTGTTGCGAGTCTGCGCACTACTGAGGAAACAAAGTGAACGGTCGACGACCAAAGTCAAAACTACCGGATATCTTGCGTATCCAGCACAGAAACACTGTTTGCTTCGTAATAACAGATCACGTAACAAATGTCACGAGCGATCCTGTTACACACACGCGCGCCCGACACAACAGTGTTTGAATATTACAATGATTTTTTTTTTTTTTTTTTACAAAGGGCGCGTCCGCTCAGTACGTGAAACCGACACTGTGGACTTAAAAACTGCAGTAGATTCACTCACCTAAAGCGGTACTTTCACGGCAGCTGTTAAAACTCCATAATGACATGAGAATCACACCGGGGAGTTTCCGCATCGCTGGTCCGACTGCAGGAGGTCTTCTCTCCCCTGTCGCTGGTTGAAGCTTGCCGTCCTGTGAGGAAAGCAGCAGATCGGCCAGTCTTCACAGTTAAAGGATAAATGCGATAAAGAGCTGTGGTGTCTCTGCTGCCTGCTGCTGCCCCGCTCTGCGTCGCCGTCGGCAGACTTCCAAAAGCTGCAGCGGTGGTGGTGATGGTGGTGGTGGGGAGGAGGAATTAATGCCTCAACATGACTCTGCAACTCTGGAGTATTTAGGCGACACTGCAAAGACAGTGTGTACGGGCAGTACGCATCTACAGAAACTTATACGGCAACAAGTTACGAGTGGCATTCCCCAAACTTGAAACTGAGCGTCGGCCAAGGATTGATTCGGGAATGATTATATAACTATTACACTGCTAAAAAACTCCCTGCAGCGGCTTTATATCAATAAACGCACGCACGCGCACACACACACACACACACACACACACACACACACACACACACACACAGGACCACAAAGGAAACACACAGCATTTCTTAAGAAGTTTGATTGATGAATCATTGAGAAACATAAAAGTCACTGGTTCTGCCCATTGCATTCCTGCCCTGAGGGATAATCTTGGCTGGTGGTGACAGTATGTTCTTCTTTTAACAAATAGGCAATCCTATAATAACATACAGTGGATTTATATAAAGGGCACTTCACCAACTGCTAAAACATAACCCTATTTGAAAGTTGTGAGATTAGACCCATATAGGACAAACTACACTATTGAATGTGACAGTCACGGTTACATAATATCATAATGTAACACAAGACAATACAGAAAATTATTAGTAACAAAAGATAAATAAAACTGAGACAATCTGGGCACGTTAATGTATACAGATGAAATAAGATCGACCAAAAAACAGAAACAAATAATATTCAGCAGCACATGTTCACAACAAAAAGTGTGTTTTTTACTATGAGACCAAACTTTCTTTGTTTGTGATCAGAGATTCAACCATTCAGCAAAATCAATGCAAGTCCAAATTCTTGTTTTTACCCGAAAGAACGAGACACCTGTCTCCTAACAAACAATGCTGGGGTAGATTGTGACACTGGTTTATGCAACTACTCCAATACGTTTGATTACTTGTTTCCAAAAAGGAGAAAGAAAACAACAATGTAACATCAAATGAAGAAAAGCATCTGGTTCATTTGGACACTTCCAGCAGTGATTATCCTCCATTTTGTTTTAAGTTCAAATAATAATAGAAATAATTTTGTTTTGTGAAATTGGCCCCCTTCTTTTCCTGTTTGCCTTCTATTTTCACATTGGTTTAAAACTTTAGCGTGAAAGTGTTGACTTTGGAAATATACATTTGGAAGATGTTGACGACAATGAGTTGCTGTTGAAAGCAGATAGATACCTCGTCAGTGGAACTTTAGTTATTACAGTTTTGTCGAACTATTTCCGAGGTCAAGAATAACTTTTCATACTCATAATTGAAAATCATGTGTCTCGATATTTGGAGATTTTGAATTTGTCTGATAAGTTGAATGGTTATGTGTCCTTTGATGGATCTCAACAAATCTCCTACTAAGATAAAGGAAACGATTTAAAAGACCAATTAGATTATCTGAAAGAAAATGCATTGTACAAAGCTGAAAACATTTCTTAATGCATGAAATGTTGGTGTTTCAGATACAAATGATGTTCACAGGATTGGAAATCAAGATTAATTGTTCATCTCCATGTTCCAAAATCCTAAATCCTAAATCCCCTAAACGTTGACTGGTCTGATTAAGTGAATGGGTTTGTTTAAACGGCCTGACAGTCATTGTACAGACAGAACTCCCTTAAGAAAAACATCAATTCTAAAGAAGAAGAAAACAAAAAAGCTTAAGGGCTTATTTCCATTCTGCTCCTCCGTTTGATCTTTTTGTCCCTGAGATACATAACCCCCTCCCTCCTCACCTCAGAAGTGCTTTGATATCCTGTCCATGGACATCTCAAACAACAGGAGAGGGGACAGGCCACACCCTTGGCAGATTGGCACGCGGAACATGCTTTCCCCCAGTTTATCAAAACCCAGGTCCGTGAGTTCAGATCGTATATATGTGAATGACTTTCTCACATATAAAGTGAGCTTAATTAATTCACTACATGATTGCTTTTAAACTTTATTCAAATCCTCATCTGAACATTCTCTAATTAGAGCATTTCTCTTCAGCCCTCTGGCAGTTACAGTACAGATGGGCGTGTTTTCTGCTCAGCAGTATTTCACCAACACTGTCGTGTAGGTGACTTTCGAGTTCTTAAGGCAACACAATTATCCACACAGCTCACACCACACCCACCAACCAACACCAAGCACATGGAAACAAAAATTCCAAAAATGGTTACCGATTTGATGCGAGGACAGGTTGTATCATTATGATAGAGAGGATGGCTGCACACGGTGTTCTGCATAATGACTAAAGATTCATTTTATTTCTCATTAAAAACACAACAGCCATGATGTTGTGAAAGATGTAGTTTATCCTATGGAGATGATGACCTGTGTGAAACCATGAATTAAGCTGCTATCTCACTGTGTAATCAATGCACATAAGACTCTCTTTCATTTCAATGCAATTTACTATCCATCCTCCATCCATTTTCCACCGCTTATCCGGGGTCGGGTCGCGGTGGCAGCAGGTCAAGCAGGCCGACCCAGACCTCCCTCTCACCGGCAACATGTTCCAGCTCATTCTGGGGGATCCCGAGGCGTTCCCAGGCCAGCTGGGAGATGTAATCTCTCCAGCGTGTTCTGGGTCTTCCCCGGGGTCTCTTCCCAGTTGGACGTGCCTGGAAAACCTCCAGTGGGAGGCGTCCAGGAGGCATCCTAATTAGATGCCCAAACCACCTCAGCTGACTCCTTTCGACGAGAAGGAGTAGCGGCTCGACTCCAAGCTCCCTCCTGATGACCGAGCTCCTTACCCTATCTCTAAGGCTGAGCCCGGCCACCCTACAGAGGAAACTCATTTCGGCCGCTTGTAGCCGCGACCTTGTCCTTTCGGTCACGACCCAGAGTTCGTGACCATAGGTGAGGGTAGGAACGTAGACCGAGTGGTAAATTGAGAGCTTTGCCTTCCGGCTCAGCTCCCTCTTCACCAAGACGGTCCGGTGCAGTGCCTGCTTTACTGCTGCAGCTGCACCGATCCGTCTGTCGATCTCCCGCTCCATCTTACCCTCACTCGTGAACAAGACCCCGAGATACTTGAACTCCTTTGCTTGAGGTAGGCACTCCGTCCCCACCTGGAGGGAGCAATCCACCGGTTTCCGGCAGAGAACCATGGCCTCAGATTTGGAGGTGCTAACTCTCATCCCCGCCGCTTCACACTCGGCTGCAAACCGCCCCAGTGAATGCTGGAGGTCACGATCCGAGGAGGCTAACAGGACCACATCATCTGCAAATAGCAGAGAGGCGATCCCGAGACCCCCGAAACTGACGTTCTCCGCCCCCAGGCTGCGCCTAGATATCCTGTCCATGAAAATCACGAACAGGACCGGTGACAAAGGGCAGCCCTGGCGGAGGCCAACACCCACTGGGAACGTGTCTGACTTATTGCCGAGAATGCGGACACAGCTCCTACTGCAGTCGTACAGAGACCGGATCGCCCGTTGTAACGGGTCCGGCACCCCATACTCCCGCAGCACCCCCCACAAGACCCCCCGAGGGACCCGGTCGAAAGCCTTCTCCAAGTCCACAAAGCACATGTAGACTGGTTGGGCAAACTCCCAGAACCCCTCCAGTAGTCTTGCGAGGGTAAAGAGCTGGTCCACTGTGGGACAGAATCCGCACTGCTCCTCTTGAATCTGAGGTTCGACAAGCGGTCGGAGCCTCCTTTCCAGCACCCTGGCATAAGCCTTCCCCGGGAGGCTGAGTAGTGTGATACCCCGGTAATTCGAGCACACTCTCCGGTCCCCCTTTTTGAAGATGGGAACCACCACCCCGGTCTGCCATTCCATGGGCACTGATCCCGACCCCCATGCGACATTGAAGAGGCGTGTCAGCCAGGACAGCCCAACTATGTCCAGCGCCTTCAGCATCTCAGGGCGGATCTCATCCACCCCCGGCGCCTTGCCACCAAGGAGCTTTTTAACTACCTCAGCGACGTCTGCCAGGGATATGGGTGAGCCTCCCCCTAGGTCCTCAGGCGCTGCCTCCTCTGCAGAGGACATGTTGGTCGGGTTTAGGAGTTCCTCAAAGTGCTCTTGAGCCGTCGGATGGTTTGCCAGAACCTCCTTGAGGCCAACCCAAAGTCGTTCTCCATGGCCTCCCCGAACTCCTCCCATGCCCGAGTTTTAGCATTCGCGACCACCGCAGCTGCAGCCCTTCTGGCCTGCCGGTACCTGTCAGCTGCTTCAGGAGACCCCTGGGCCAACCAGGCCTTGAAGGTCTCTTTCTTGAGCTTGATGGCTTCCCTCACCTCCGGTGTCCACCACCGGGTTCTCGGGTTGCCGCCACGACAGGCACCGATGACCTTCCGGCCACAGCTCCTAGCGGCCGCGTCCACAATAGAGGCTTTGAACATGGTCCATTCGGATTCCGTGTCCCCAACCTCCCTCGGGATGTGTGAGAAGTTCTTCCGGAGGTGGGAGTTAAAGACCTCCCGGACAGGGTCCTCCGCCAGACGTTCCCAGTTCACCCTCACTACACGTTTGGGTTTGCCGGGTCTTTCCAACCGGTTCCCCTGCCATCTGATCCAACTCACCACCAGGTGGTGATCAGTTGACAGCTTTGCTCCTCTCTTCACCCGAGTGTCCAAGACATACGGCCACAGATCAAATGATACGATTACAAAGTCGATCATTGATCTCCGGCCTAAGGTGTTCTGGTACCAGGTACACTTATGAGCCACCTTATGTTCGAACATAGTGTTCGTTATGGCCAAACCGTGGCAAGCACAGAAGTCCAATAACGAAACACCATTCGGGTTCAGATCGGGCAAGCCGTTCCTCCCAATCAGCCCCCGCCAGGTTTCTCCGTCATTGCCCACGTGAGCGTTGAAGTCCCCCAGGCGAACTATGGAGTCGGTAGGCGGCGCCCTTTCCAGGACCCCTCCCACTGACTCCAAGAAGGCCGGATACTCCGAACTGCTGTTTGGTGCATAAGCACAAACCACAGTCAGAGCCTTGCTCCCCGCAACCCGTAGGCGCATGGAGACGACCCTCTCGCTCTCCGGGGAGAACTCCAACACAGCGGCGCTCAGCCGGGGGCTCGTGAGTATCCCCACTCCCGCCCGGTGCCTCTCACCCTGGGCAACTCCGGAAAAGGACAAAGTCCAACCCCTCTCCAGGAGCTTGGTTCCAGAGCCAACGCTGTGTGTGGAGGTGAGTCCAACTATTTCTAGCTGGTATCGCTCCACCTCCTGCACCAGCTCCG